GGCTACACAATATAATTTTTCCTGTTTGAGTCCAAGAGATAAAAGAATAGAAGTATTATGGATAACGTCAGACAAATGGATGATTTTGGATTTTCTCATTCATATACAATTTGCAAGTTCATTTTCATCCCTATAAAATTAAAGTACAAATGACAAAGCACAGTGAACAACTTCCACAAACCACACGAAGAGATCATTTTAAGTTCCATAACAAATTCAAATTTGGGCTATATTAATTTTCTTAATTTAATGAAGTTCGGAAATATTTAAATAAAAAAGATAAGCTGGTGGCATTTAGTTGATTGTTTTTTTCTCTGAAAACTGTCTTTGCTGAGGATAAATTGTCCAGATACCTAACCCAGTCAGTGGCTTTGAATATGTAATCATGAGCCTATAATGTAGAACTTACAATTCAATAGGACCACAATTTTTTATAAGAGTTGAAAGTCAAATATATGCATTATAAAATTAATTAGTCTCCATTAGAGAAATATTAGGGAGTACTTATATATCTTTTCATAGACAGACTGAGACAAGACTAAGAAGTGGGAAGAATTAGCCTTTGAGAACCTTTCAACCAACAAAAACACAAAATCAAATTCTAAAATAAATAAAATACGACTAAGGTACAATACACGCACATTTTAGCTAATACTCTCTCTCAACCGATACATGTGATGGTATAATATATTCAAAAAAAAAATGATATCTTTAAATATTTAAAATTAATTTCAAACTTTAAAGTTTACATATCATAGAAATACGCATAACTTGTTTTAAACTAGTATAAACTTTTTTTAAAAGAAAAATAATCTTAAATTTTGTATCCGACCAAGATGCATGCATCACATCAAATTGGACGGAGGGAATATTTAAATTTTGGGAAAATGGGAATAGTGACAAATGATATCCACGTTGAGTAAAATGTATAGCTTGACACAGCACATTGTCTAGTTTTTGTTCACATCAATGAAAACAAATCTGTTTCTCTATTATTATTTTTGTGTCCATTCATTTTAAGAAAAATGGAAAAATCAAAAGTTTATCAATCCCAAAGCCGTGTCAATCACTCAACTTCTTTTCTATCGTCGGCTTAATTAGTAGTTGGTCAAGATTAGCTAGCCCATCTTATGCGAAACTTAGCTTAAACGCAAAAAATAATATTCCAAAATAACCATAGCTTCAACAGAAAGTTGATGATTCCAAACTAACTTCCTTTTAACAAAAGCAATTAACCAACCAGCATCTACCTTTTAACCCATCACCTTCCGGATTAGAGATAAGATCTGCGTACACTTTATCCTCCTCAGAATTCACTAGTGAGATTTTACTGGATATGTCGCATCTACCGGAAACAACCTTTCTATCCTTCCGGGATAGGAGTAAGGTCTGCGAGCGGCTATGTTGGTATTGTTGCATCTACCTTTTAACAAGGCCTTATCATCACTATTGTTCCTCTCTAGAACATCAATTTAAAAATGATTAGAGTGGCCATTTATTTTCTGAATCGATGAAGAAAGGAAACTGATAACTGTCAAAATTTGGGATTCTAATTCTCCGGACTGAGAATAAAGACCATTGAACGAAAAATTGATAGATTTTCCATTGATGTATAGACCAACAATTAAATTCAAAATTCAGATCCAGATTGTCTTGGATCCTTGACAACACAATAACATCCGTGTTTAATAATTCACAAATTGAAAAAGGAAAAGAATATATATCTTACATACATCAAGTGTTCTTTCCTAATTAGAAGATCATATCGTGAATTTTTCTTTTCTGGGTAGCATTCATTGATTTACAGAAGACACCTTCTTTTAACATGATCAACAGACCTGAAGAATGAGTCAACTTCTTCTCTTGCCGCAACTTCAAAAAACTGAAGCTCATCTACTAATTTTCTCTTGCACGAGATCACTCTTTTCGGCTTCTTTGGGGCAGGTGGACAGCTGAGAATTTTGGGGATCAAATACTGAGGAGATCTTGGGGTTTTGATTTCTTCTTCTTCTTCGCTATCTCTTGAATTTTTTCCATCGTCTGAATTCTGTGAAGATAAAGTAGCTGTAATTACGTTGATTTTGGGTAATTGGATTTCCAACCGGAATTCTAGATCTGTAGACATTTTGAGTAGAATTCTATGGAATTTGGGAATTAAGTGGGTATGTGTAATGGACAAGAAATGGGAGGGATGTGCGTTAAGTTTGAGGTCAATATATATGGGCGGAAAAAGTGAAGAGAAAATTGTTAGTTAAAGGTTGAGATGTTGAAGAGGCGAGACGCGTGCCATTGAAGGTAGTAATTGAGTTGAACAAAAAAGGGCGTTTACTATTATTTCTTTATTCTTACACTAACCAAACAGCTTTTTTCCATGTCCATTTCACACTTTTATTCGCATTTAATAAATTAAAAAAAAAGTTATTGATAAATATTAAAAGAAACTTGTAGTATCAAACACAATGTATTATGACATTTTTATTACTATAACAACATATTATTATGGACAAAATAAAAAAGTGAAACAAAATGGAACACAGAGAGTAACTTAAATACATGATCATATGAAGCTTCTCCTTATATGGAAATATTGTTATTCCAATTTCTAAGCTTGCTATTCTTTCTAGTTTAAGCTTGGAGAGATATTAAAATGATTCCTCTAGTTAATTTTGTTGCTTCTTTTGCTTAATGTAGAGCCTTGTTTTAAATGTGTGCTTTGTATGACGGGAAAGAGTAAATTCCCTTAGTTAATTTTGTTGCTAATTTTGCTAAATGTATTGCCTTGTTTTCATTTGATGTATGTATGAGGACAAAAGTTAAAACTGATGAGTAGTGCCTTGCACTTGGTGTTAGGTATATTCTTTAATACCATGATTCTGAAGAGGATATTTTTTTTTTTTCACTTCTCCACAATTCATTGCATTCAACTTAGAAATAAAGAAGGATCAACTAGACAACTTTTACTTACATTTCAATGGATGACAATTAATTAACACTATCACTTTTTGTTTCATTCTCTAGTTTTAATTTGTCATACTTACAAGTTTTGATACCTCTATCAATGAAAACCTTATAAACATTTATTTGTTATAAAATAAAAGCAATTTAGTAAAATATAAACAAGAAATGTTATGAAATAAAAGTAATTTAGTAAAACATGAACAAGAAATGGAGATAGAGAGAAGGAAGAGATTTTCTTCTTCAATTGTGTGTATTTTCTTATCTATTACAAGGCCTTTATATAGGAATGAAGTGAAGAAAAATATGTCATTGAATATGTCATTAAGCATAGAAATATGTCGTTTAATATGTCATTAAGCATTTGAGAAGATCATGGAGAAAGAGTAGACATCCACCATAATTTAATTTTTCTTATAATACTCCCCCTTGGATGTCCATAGATAATGTGCCTCGTTAAAACCTTATTAGGAAAAAACCCTATGGGAAAAAAATCTTAGTGAAGGAAAAAGAGTACACTTGTTTAGAAACACGCCTTTTAGTTGCCTCGTTAAAAACCTTGCAAGGAAAACCCAGTGGGACAAAACCTTGTAAGGGAAAAAGAGTACGACGCGTACTAACTCCCCCTGATTAGAGCATCAATTCACATCTTTGAGCCTTCGCATCCCAATCTTGTATACTAGTTTCTTGAAGGTTGATGTCGGTAGAGATTTGGTGAACAAATCAGCCATATTATCACTTGAACGGATCTGTTGCACATTGATATCACCATTCTTTTGAAAATCATGTGTGAAAAATAACTTTGGTGAAATTTACTTTGTCCTATCCCCTTCATGAATCCTCTCTTCAATTGGGCTATGCATGCTGCATTGTCTTCATACAAAATTATGGATAGTTTGTCACACTTCAAACCACATTTGTCTCGAATAAGGTGTATTATAGACCTCAACCATATACATAATCGACTTGCTTTATGAATAGCAATTATCTCAGCATGATTAGATAAAGTAGCCAGGATTGATTGCTTAGTCGATCGCTAAGATACGGCAGTGCCTCCATATGTAAACACATAGTCTGTTTGAGATCGAGCCTTGTGTGGGTCATATAAATACCTAGTATCAGCATAACCAACAAGATCGGGACTGCATTCATTCCCATAAAATAATCTCATATCGGTAGTCCCTTTTAGATACCGCAATATGTGTTTGATTTCATTCCAATGTCTCCTTGTAGGAGCAGAGTTATATCTTGTTAAGACATTAATTGAAAAAGTTATGTTAGATCTTGTAATGTTAGAAAGATACATTAGTGCACCAATTGCACTAAGATATGGTACTTAGGGACCAAGAAGCTCTTCATTATTTTCATGAGGTCGGAATGGATGTGCTTTATCCATATAAAATCGCTTTAAAATCATTTTAGTGTATGCTGATTGATGGACAAAAATTCCATCTTTCATATACTCAATTTGTAGACCAAGACAAAATTTTGTCTTTCCAAGATCTTTCATTTCAAATTCTTTCTTTAAATAGTCTACTGCTTTAGGAAGCTCCCTAGGAGTTCCAATGATATTTAAATCATCAACATACACGGTGATTATAACAAATTTAGATCCAGATCTTTTTATAAAGACACAAGGACAAATTGAATCATTTTTGTACCCTTCTTTCAACAGGTACTCACTCAGGCGATTATACCACATATGTCGTGATTGTTTCAATTCGTATAAGGATTTTTGAAGCTTTATTTAATAAATTTCTTGGAAACCTTAATATGCTTCAGAACAATTTAAATCCTTCAATGATTTTCATTATACGCATATCACGTTTTTCTTGTATTGCCAGATTAAAACCTGAAATGGCGACATCCACCACAGGAGAACATGTCTCTGTATAATCAATGTCAGGATATTTACAAATCTTCTTGTGACACAAGTCATCTTTATGTCTATCGACTTGAACTTTTTTTTTCGCACAAGAACACATTTATACCTCCACTGTTTTATACTTTTAGGTGTTGGGACTATGCGTCCAACTTCATATTTTTCAGGTGAAATCAATTCTCATTGCGTATTTTTCATTTGGCCAATCATTTATCTGTCCAAATTTCATGACAAATTTGAGCTCAAGATCCTCGTCAATATTAATAATGTTGAGCGCTACATTATATTAACAATACCGCCGACGATCATTTTATATCGATTCTACTATTACCCAATAAAGACATAACTTATTGAGATCTCTTTATCTTATTATTTTCAGGTACCTGAGCCTCTCTCATGAAGTTTTATGAAGTGTTATGTCGTGGTGCTCGTCTGGAGCACTTGCCTCCTTATTATAACCATCTTGAACATTTGCTCATCTTTTTCTTCAAGGAGTTTTATCTTTGGAACCGATTAGTCTATTATGCTTCATGCATGCCATAGACTCTATTCATTATGAACTTTATTTTATTTGGAGCATTAGCAGCTGAGTATGACATTTAGTTTTGGGTTAGCAAATACGCCTGGCAATATTTTACAAATGAATTATCACTTGAACTTCAAGTTCACATTTTCTCGTACGAGGATCTCGATGTACTCATAATAATTCATTATATGCATTACTTTTTCAGTTGTCCATTTTCTCCCCCTATTGTTGGGATCATCAACACATATCCCTAACCTTATTTGGGGATTCATCTTTGTGCATTGTGGTGGAACAATTAAATCATACACATTCATATTTCTAGATGGAAATTATTTGGTTCCTGACCCTGAACCGATTGTGATAGGGAGAATTTATCATAACTTGGCTAGATGCGTACAAATGCTGTTGTATATTAAATAATACATCACATACCAAATTTTATTTTGGCAGTTTTGTCCTCATAACCAATGGTTTAGATATAATTGGAGGCATACAATTTCTGCTAAACCAACTTGGATTTAAACCAGTATTATCAAGATAAATCATCATAATTTATATTCTAGAACTGTGCTCTAATAATTTGAGCAATCAATCTTGCAAGAGCCAAACTGAAAGTTGATAACAAATGCACATGTGACCATAGAATAGATGCATCTATTAAAATCATATAATAGTAAATGGTCCACATGGAAGGTGACTGGGCCCATATATTTATCACCTTTTATTCGTTCCAGAAATCAAGGGATTCAATCCCAACCTTAACTAGTATATCATGAGAATAAGCAGTACAAGAAAATTCTTGAAGAATCTTATATTTCTTCAATATATGCTAATATAATTCTCAATTAATTTTTTTGCATCATGATTGAACCAAGATGGTCAACCGGTCATGCCAACTAATATTTATTTCAGTAAACCTCTAGTTTACGTGTGGCTTGCGATTGCATCATCATGCTTATACTTGTGTAGTACAAATAGAAGAAAAGTTAGGTAACCTTTTATATTTACCCGGTATGATTATAGTAATGTAAAGATATCCAATCTTCTTTTCATTTATAGTCTCAATATGCGAACCACTTTGGCTAACATATTTGTAAATCAAAATATTTCTTTTGAGACTTACTACAATATTAATGTCATGAATAATTTTATTCATCCGGGTAGTAATAAATTAGTTCTTTAAGAGCTCTTAACTGCTTTTGTACTACAAAATATTTTGTCACACCATCCATATAATTAATGTCTCCTTTACAAAGAGAATCATATTATAATAATTGTCATGTCCAAAATCATCATAAGAAAAATAATTTCTTGCTTTAATTTTGCTTTTAATAACTTTCATAAAGCATGACAAAATATTTTTGGCGTATCACATGTATGCGATCAATGATATATTCATGTAACTACACAATAATATTCATTATCGTTTTTTGTCTCAAACCTCCCTTATAGGTGAGTTGTAGTATTTATCCAACCATGCACAAGTACATTATCATGCATAATCTTTATCACATATATATATTCACATTCACTTTCAGGAATGAGTATGCAATCTCAATATTTATCACAAGTCACATTCTCTTCAAAAAATTTCTCCCTTTTTTATAATTACTATAGTGATAACTGTTATTATTTTGGCCTTTTGCTCGCCCATATTCATTGGTCAATCATTTGTCTTTATTTAGACTTATCATGCACTGCTATCACATTCACTTCAAGAATGGAGCAAATCAAGTGGGACAAACTTCATGCTTTTTCATGA